CAACGTCGTTCGTCGTGCCGCCCGGCGCCCTCTACGTGTCGGACCCCACCACGCTCGAGGTCGAGGCCGAATCGATCCTGGCCATCAGCATCTACCTCGCCGCCGGCCAGACGACCAACGCCATCACGTCACACCCGGGCAGTCGCACGTCGTCCTGGCTCGCGCACGGCAACCACGTTTCGGACGCGGAGCTGCCGTCACCTGTCCGTACCGACCACTGGTTCCTCATCTCGGCGCTCGAGGCGCGCCTCTACAAGGGGGCCTCGACGTTCGCCATTGTCGGCGACTCGCTCACCGACGGCCGCGGCTCGACGACAAACGCCAACAACCGCTGGCCCGACCGCCTGCTGGCGCGCCTCCAGCTCGACCCGGCCACGAGCCAGGTCGCCATCCTCAACCAGGCCGCCGGCGGCAACCGCGTGCTCAACGACGGCCTCGGCCCTGCGGCCCTCGGGCGCATCGACCGCGACGTCCTCGCCCACAGCGGCGTGCGCTACGCCCTCCTCTTCATCGGCATCAACGACATTGGCACGACGGCCTCACGAGGCGGCCCTGACCCTCACGGCCGGCCGCCTCGAGCAGGCCTACGCCCAGATGGCGTACCGCATCCGCCGAAAGGGCATCACCGTCTGGGGCGCCACGCTGACGCCCATGACGGGCGAGGGTCAGGCGTACGGGACGCCCGAGCGCGAGGCCGCGCGCCAGGCGTCAACGCCTGGATCCGCACCAGCGGCGTCTTTGATGCCGTCGTCGACTTTGACGAGATGGTCCGCGACCCGTCGGCGCCCGACCAGCTGGCGGCGGCGTATGACGAGGGTGACCACCTCCACTTGAACCCGGCTGGCTATCAGGCCATGGCGGACGGGTTCGATCTCGCTCTGCTCGCGGCGGCTTCGGCGGGTACGTCTGGCTGGAGGAAGTGATTTCTTTTTTCGGCACCGGGGCGGGCTCTGCACCGTTTCGGCGGCAGTCGAGTTGGGATTTCCATGTCTGAGGTTGGAGGAGAGAAAGGAGGGACAGGAGGGCTCAGAGCTCGGGCAGCATTAGGTAGAAAGGACGAAAACAGTCATCCCCTCCAGCGTCTCACTACCTCATCTCGGGCAGTACGAGTCAAGGTCAGGACGAAGGTCTGCATACGCTTTGATTCTTGCACATCCTATGCTCATGTCCTCTCGCTCCGAACGGCAGTCGCCATGATGCGAAGCGCGCCACTTTATCATTACGTCGCAGAGCCACTTGCTTGACGGTGTGTTTCTTACTAGGGCGTCGGGATGTATGGGAACGAACCGCGCGGCATCTTTTTGACCAATGGCGTTTGTCGTGCTCACCAAGACGCGGCCAGCGAAAGGTCCGATTGTGCATTTGTATGTGCATTTGTATGTGCATTTGTAACCCCACGGTCGCGTCACGAAGTCGACGTGGCTTGCTTCTCTTCGTCGTATTGGTGAGAGAAAAAGCAGCGGTGAGGAAGAAGAATTTTCTTGTATAAATTCCAGCAATTCTATCCTATCCCCTTCGTCTCTTCCCGTCTCCCTTGCCAAAGAAGACGAGGGAACGCGAAAAGACAGTGTGACAAGATGATATGAAGAAGAAGGAAAAAAAAGTATAATCCTACTGCCTCTCGAAAACAGAATTTTTATTTGTCCCCCCCCCCCAAAAAAAGAAACGCCGCGCTGAACTTGATGGAAGTTACTCTCACACAAACTCTGTAGCCCCGTGCCCCCCCCCTCCCAATGCACTTTTCCTCTTGTGAAACAGTCGTCTCCGGCCAACTTGCTCTTGACTGTCAGTCGTGCAAGATGACCTGATGCCATGCGTTCGGGGCACTACGTCCAAAGCATACACGTGCCGTCGGCACCGGCGGACACGCACCACGGCTCGGTGGGGTGCCAGTCGACGTCCATGACGCCGAGCTTGGCGACGACCTTGTGGCCCTTGAGCATCTTGACGGGCACAATGGTGGGGTTCTCCATGAGGTCGGCTGACGACCTTGCCGTGGAAGATCTGCAGGCTGCCGTCGTCGGACGCGTCGGCGAACAGCAGCAGGCCGCCGCGGTG